CAGAACGCATTTCTCTGCAACCACGTGTTTACCGTAGGTAAGGTTTCTTCATGTAAGACGTTAAAATTTTTTGCTCGTTAATGTAAGATGGACAAATACCTTGTAAAGCCAATATCTTCTACTCCGAAACGGACAAATGAAAATGAAACAAATGTGGGTAGAAACGATCAAAACGAAACAAATACGCATTTGGGCAACCTAATGAGAATAGCTGATGAAAAAGTAGGTGTAGAGCATTTTCCATATGATGATGCAGCAAAAATATTCAATGCTTTAAAAATTAGAAGATGTTAAAAATGCATTATAATAAAAGAAATTTTTTTTTTCAAGTCTCTTTGTGTTTTTTCTGTTAATTTTCGAAATCTCACTTAACTTTTTGAAATCTCACCCTGTTTTTGAGAAAGGGTGAGAAATTCTCACCCATTTTTTTTCTGAGATGAAAACACTGTAATATACACATTATAAAAATACAGTTGACTCACATTGTCGTTAGACCACTTCGGAGATTTTTAGCCAATGAGGAAAAAGCGTGTAATGTGATCAATAGCCCAAACAACTAATCAGATATTTGCGTGTAACCAGCCAATAACAGCGTTTTTAATTTAATGCCGCATTTTGTGACTTCAAATTTCATTCGATCCTTTTCAGATCTTTGTTTACACACACATCTTAATTCAGCTTTATTAACTTGTTACTTATTGAATTTTAATTACTTTGCTTAAGTTATCATTATTATTCATTTTAAATCCTGTGAAAACGAATCGCAGCATGCAACTTTTAATTCGGTTAAATATGAAAATTGATATTAAAATATCCTATATAAGAATTGAGATTTTAGCCGATTCCGGCACAGTTCCTAAGTAATCTTTAAAATTCCGAAAATCAGTCAAACAAAAGTAAAATATCGGAGGTCAAAACAAATCAAACAGTGACGGGCGAAACCGCTTAGAGCTCCTTTCCACACTACACCGGAAGTCGCAGTTGTCAAGACAACGGCGAAGATGCCGTAACTCCACCAATTTTCTCAGGAGGCTGCTGCAGGGGAGTAAGTTTGTTTCACGTCCGACTTTTGTTCAAGCGGTATGGGTTTCACCAATTGGAATCTCCAAAAGTTTAAGTTTTTGGAAGATGGTTGGAAATTTTAAAAATTGGAAGAAAAAAACAGATTTCGGCTTTTTTGCGGAAGTCTTTCATCCCTGATTTTTAAACCAATAAATCTTCAGTCATTTTTAATTATAAAAACACTAAAACAATGCCTAATTTTTAAAATTAAATAAAAATTTTAGCAATTTTTTCATGTTTTTAGTGATATTAAATTTATAATTATTATTTTCGTTTAAAAATTTCTTATTAGTCTTTATACATGTTCCCTTAATAATTAGTTAGGTAGTCAGTATTATCTTTAAACCAATAATTTTTCGGTCAATTTTATTTTCAAAAAAGTAAATAATAAATAAAAGGTCTGACAATGTTTCAAAAGCATACTTTATCAACAAATAATGTAAAAATGTTTTACTTAAACGACTGCTTTGGTTTGCTTTTTGTGTTCGTTCTTTTATTATTATTTTTAATGCACACAAATAAAATATTTCATTACAGCTTTATTATTACTTTTGAACTAATAAATCAGAAGTCATTTCAAAATAATAAAAAAAATCAAATAAAGCTTGTCTGTTTTTACTTTAAGACATCAGTCTAAGTCAGTCCATCTTTATTATTTTAGTTGAAAAATGAAGCAAAGCTATTGATCTTACAGAAACATTTTTTTTGAATTAACATTTTCTTTTGTTAAAGATTTATTCCCTTGATTTATTTTTGATTGATTTAAAGATTTCCGATTGACAATTTTCGAACATATGTTATACCCCAATGTCTAACAGACAATATATCACAATATAAAATTTCTTACATCGCCCAGTCCTAGTAGTAATAATATTAGAATTTTGAAAATCACAAATCAGGTACATTAATTTAAATTTGCATTTTAAAGAATGAAACATAGATTTACACTGGTATCGAGTGAGTGGAAAAGAGATTGCTGAAATGCGTGATTTGAAATTTTTATGTTGTAATGTTTTAAAAATTAATTCTAATTGGGGACAAATAAAAAAGGTGACAAGTATATCACATTAATTACTAATTCTGCAGTTAAAAATCAGAATTTGCAACAAAATTACTACTCGTTAAAATTAAAGTTTTTTTTAAAAAAATGGAAGGGGTTTGTATAGGCCGAATTAACTACCGTTTAGCGGTACCTCCACAAAATCAACTTTAGGAAAAACGGTAGTTTCACAAATTCAACTTTAAGAAAAACGGTAGTTTCACAAAATACTTTTTCATAAAATTTTATTTTTGCATCCTTTAAGAAATGATAAATCCATATTTTTGAGTTGATTTTTTAAAATTTTTTTTAATTTTTCACAAATTATGTCTAAATTTTCACAAAATAGGTACCTCTCAGAAAAACCTAGACAGACCCCTAAATGAGAAAAAGCACCATTCTTTCCTGCGCTTCCTTAATGTTTTAAATGCTTGCTATTTCGGAATGATGCACAGTTTTTTAGCTCTGAAATTTCTCTAACAATGATAGTGTTTTTTCTTCTTTTTTAAAAAAAATATTTTTTTAAAAAATGATTGTTAAAATCTTTTTGATAATTTTTCCTTAACGAAGAAAAAAAAAATCATTTGATTTCACATAACTCTTAAATAAACTAACACATGCGTAAAAAATAAAAGGAATCAAAATATAATTAAATAGCAATAATTTATAAAATTAAATTTAAGACTCCATTTATAAACTTTAAAGAATTCCAATTTTATAAATAAATAAATTGACACAAAGTTATTTGTGTTACATTTAACAACAGAAAATAGTCTCCTTCTTCAAACATAATGAAAAATATTCTTTTACTTTTAACATGATATAGGCTTTGTATTGCTTAAGAGGAAGAAGGAAAAAAAAGAGAGAGAAATCTTACCATCAACTTTTAGAGAAGCAGCTAGCAATTCTCGGCATTTTATTCTTACAGAATTTGAAGTCTCAGCAGGAAAAGTAGTTTGTTTTGGAGTTGAAGGCTTGGATGAAGGTTGTCCCTTAGATGAGGATTCTTTACTAGATTCAGATTTCTGGGAAGCTGTACTGCCATTAGAGATATCTCCCTTGGATTCCCTACTATTTCCATTACCATCACCTTTTGAACTTGGAGTGTCTAGAAATGAATAATTTACTTTGAAAATAAGCTGAACATAATATCTAAATAAAATATACATATATAAAAGCTTTCAAAATCAAAGGCTTAAAATAAAAATTAAAAGTTGGTGAAATTAATTTTGTGTTTCGTAAATTTTAGTCAGCTTTTGATTGGTATAATACTAACACCTTCCTATTTCAATTTACTTAAATGTAAATTATGAAATTAATATTCAAACTATCATTTAATAAATTTAAGTCAAATATAACTCAAATACAATTAAAATTATACCTCCTCGTGAAATTTAATTAAAAGTATCGAGAAAAAACAACAAATTTAAATCATATAAATCAGATTTTCTCTTTAATTCTTCAAAAAATAAATAAAAATCATAAACCTGATAGAAAATAAAAAAAACAATTAAAAAATTTAAATTCCTAACTGGAGGTAATTACTGATTTATCAAACAAAAACAAAACATTTATTAACAATGAAATCCTAAAAATACTGCACTAAAACTATCTATATCATAACAAAAGTAATTACAACTCACCTAAATTATAACAAAATTAAACAGAAAAATATTTTAAAAAGTCAGTATGAAAACTGTTAACCTTACCTGTTAATAATTTCTTCCAAGCTTTTATTAAGCTTTTGGCTAAAGTAATGACTTCATCATCACTAGATGATTTCCTTAATGAATTAACTGTCATGCCAATCCGAGTTTTCTAAAAAAAATAAATAAAAAAAATTAAAAAAAGAAAGAAGATAAATAACTTTCAATTAAATTATTTGCTCAGTATAAGACAGAAAAAAATTATATTAAATTACCTGCAGTATGTCAAGAGTGATAGGAAGATCTCTCAAAGCTTTCAGCAAATCTAAAGCTTGCTCCTAAAAAAGAAAAGTAAGAACAAATCATTAAAAACTATAAGATTTTAAAAAGTACACAGTTACATATAACAGTAAACTGCCCAATATTTTGTGGTCTTTTATTTTATTCCTCTTTCTCACCTTTTTACTTTCTATAGGATGACTATTTTATTTTGTTTTTAACTATTAAAAATTTTTTCATTTAGAATTTAAAAAAAATCTTTCTCAGTAAAATTATTGGAGAAAAATTAATGGAAATATTCAGCAATGTATAGAAAAAGAATTCTTAAATTTTTTTTTTCGAACATCATATAACTTAAAACATGTATGACCTTCCTTTATAGATGCTGTTTATCCTCGATATATTTAGGAGATCTCCACTCATACTTTCGGGTTATCCTCATATTTAAGTTTATGAGATCAATGCTGTTATTTTTAATTACAAAATATTACTTTTAATAGCTACAAAATAAAAAGTAACAACAAATGTATCAACAGGTGCTGGAATCAAATATTAAACTAAGTTCCCACAAAGGTACAATTCATATATAAGAATTATACATTTAATTATTTGAAGGAATATTTACTAGCTATAAATATCTTAATCACAGAGAATTTCAGATCACATTTTTATTTTATAAAATTTATTGCTTGAAAGTATCACTATTAACATTAACAATAACTTATAATCAGCTAGCTAAGACTAACTCACAGTATCAAGTTCTGACATTTGTCTGGTTTATTTTGTAATGAAAAAATAACCCAACTATAAAGACACAACATAGATGTGATTTCTTTACTTAACATCATTTTAAAAAGCTTATTTGCAAACAATCGATAAGAAAATTAACATATAATCTTTGCAGTTTTTCAATGGAAGAAAAATAAAAAAATAAATAAAAGCAATGGAGAGAACTAATTATTTAAAAAAATTATCGATAGAGTACTGATATCACTATCAAAATTTACCTCTTTTAATAAATAGATTAAAAAATTAGTTGTATTTTTATACATAAAATTGCAGCCATTAAGCAAAGTAACTCCCAATTACATTTTTGTGAATATTTTACTTCTGGGCAGCAGCATAAAAATTAAAGGTATGTTCAAACAGAGTGGTCACAACAAACACTTAGAAAAAAAAGTCTCCTTATTTTTCCAGACTTATTGAATTTTCCTGATTTTTGTCATTAGTGAAATAAATTTTAATTATTAACTTTTCAGTTAAACCTTGTTCTTCTACATAAAATATATTACAAAACTCATAACTTGCTATTAAAATTATCATATTAAAAAAAATAAGACCAATATTTTAAGAAATCATCTGTGACTGTAATAAATCTCAAACTTAAATTAATAAAGACATTTATCCTGAATTTTTGTTTATTTTAACCAGGGATGGGGTTTTAGACGTCCTAAACTGGTTTTGGGCAGGACACATGGGTTTTACTGTCCTAAACTGGGTAAAACTGCCTTAAACTGGGTAAAACTGTCCTAAACTGGCCAAAACCTTGAACTTTGGTAAAAGGTAAAAATTCTATAGGTGTAACCATTGTACACATAATAATTACATGTATCAATAAATATTTGATATTTTTTATACAATTTACTTTAACTTATCAAAAGAAAATATAATATAATAGAAAAAGGTTTATAATTTTTGAAGCTCCATAACTCATTGAACAAAAGTGAATACCTAATCCTTTAAATATAAATATGCTTTTAATACTGATAAATAATGTTTAAAAACATTATTGCATAATGATAAATTATGCAATATTAAAAAATAATAATATTTTAATTGAATAATAATAATTTTTTTTAAAAAAATGCTAAATTTGTTTTAAAATTAACCTTTTATTTTTCTCAAGATTTTTTTCAAAAAATGTTATAATTTCTGCATCACAGGATGATAAAAAAGACATCTATTTTTTTAAAAAAATTGTTTTAAAATCTAAATATGTTAGTTTAAATTGAAAATACAAAATAACTGAAAAATGTATTAACAGTTTTGAAGAGCATAACATCAGTTTCAGTTACTGGTGATGTATCACCAATCACCACTATGCTAAAAGAATTGAACATGAATGAAATAACAGTATTCTTGAATAGTACCTACTATAAATAAATAAACCTGTTTATGACTAACCAAGCACTTAGTCCCTAATAGCTTAACCTGTATGGCAAGGTCAAACTTCAGTGATGTATTATTGAATGAGAGGACCAATTGAACTTGATTACTGATTAATCTTCCTTTGTTTAATGTTTAAATTGAAGAGTCAAACAATATTAATAAAACATTATACTTTTAAAAACAAATATTCTGTAGTAGATTTAATTATCATAGGGATGAGAGTAGTCAGAAAGTAAAAAAGAGGAAATCCACGAATGAATATATATACATCCAAAAATTTGACAAAAAAAATGTCATCTTTAATCTTGTTAACTATGTGATTATAAATCCCGATGGTTAATTATAAGATTGTGTGAATATGAATCACATGCATGATTTTAAATTGAGAGAAAATTAATGCCGATATGAGGCTTTTAAATCACGGGAATATGAAACACTATCGAATTTAAAAAATGAGAAAATACAAATCATGATGCGTAATTTTTAGATCACATAAATGCAAATCACGATGCATAATTTTTAAATCGCGTGAATACGAATCCCAAGTCGAATTTTTAAAAAGCACGTATAAATGCGAAAATCGATGTTGGATATTACAACCGCAAAAACAAATCACGACTTTGGATTTTAAGCTCGCGTGAATACGAATCGCTACATGGGGTTTTAAAAGCGAGTAAATACAAAACGCGATATTGGATTTTTTAAATCTCGTAACTAAGAATCATAATGCACGATATTTAAATAGCGTGAATAAGAATCACAAAGCGCAACTTTTAAATCAGGTAAATACGAAAATCGATGATTCACATAAGAATCGAGATGTTTGCAGAGTCTGGACTTGGGATTTCTAAAAGGCTTGTTTGTATTGTTTTTGTTCAGACATAATAAATGAAAATTAACAAGATTAATTGAATGAGCAAATTAAAAGAAATTCACTAATTTTGTTTTCTAGAAGCTTAGTATCCTTTTTAGGCTTATAATTTCTCACAATATTTATACTAGGCTAATTTATAAACTTAAAAATTATTCTAACGATGTACACACATAAAATTAAGATAGAAGCATGGTAAGACAAACCAGAAATGGTGTAAATCAGAATACAGTCTTGTATACAGTTAAAAACAAATTTTGTTCAAAACAAAAATTCCACTTAATAAATATGAACTGTTATTTAAGAAAAGACAATTAGCTATTTATAAGCTATTTTATATACTATTTATAAGAAGAAATTACAATGATCAGGAATTACCCCAGTGATCAATAATTACCCCATCTGTAGGGGGCAACATTTGATATAGTTTCCTATAATCAATTATAATGTTTACAGTAGATGTGAAACAATTAAACAAAAGCTTACACTATTTTTATATCAAAGAAAAAGAAAGTAACTCAAAATATTTATTATTAAGAGAAGGAGGGGGATCTTTGCAGAAATGTGCACATTTTGAAACCCATCTTTGAAATGGAAAATACAGAAAGCAGTTTAAAAGATACTTATTTTGTTAGATTAAACAAAAAATTATTATTAAGTAAATGTAGTTATACTTTAGTAAACTAGTAGTGAACAAGCATTTTTGTCCATGTCTCAAATTTAAAAAAAAAATAATTTTTTTAAAATAAAACTTAGGTGATCATTATTTACCCCAGAAACAGAGTGATCATGAATTACCCCGTGTCACCCTATTTGTTTTAAATTCCTTATCAATTTCCGTAAAACAATTCTAATTGTTAATAATTTTGGAGAACTAAAAAAATCCGATTTTCTTTATGATTACGCTTGGAAGCATAGTCATGTCAGCAAATATTGTTATACATTATTAATAACAACGTAACTCGTTCATTCAATTTAATTAGGTATAGTTACGTTATTATTCCTATGCTTCATGTAATCTGAATAATAACAAACAGCAATACTTTACATTAATATCACTATGAATGGGGGATAATGCTCAAAAAATTTTAAACTTCATACATAATTCATGCCTTGGTATTAATTTTCTTGAATTAAATAATGGCTTAAGACGTGTTAGGTTTTGTAAATTAAAAAAAAAATTCTATTAATGGTAAAATTACGTGTAAATTTCGACACAAATCCCATGAATAAAACTTCCAAGAATATCAAGCATGCTCAAACGAAGCTTCATAGACATAAGTTAAGCGGAGGGATACTACATGAGAAATCTTAAAAAGTTTCTTGAGATTTTTAGAATCTTGTATTGTTCCCCAGTATCAAAAGAAATATGCTATGATTTTGCATAAAAAGATATGAGTAATGATATGACAATAAGAGTAATGATATTTTGAGGAAGAAAAAAACATTACGTTTAAACGTAGGAAATACGAATTTTCTACTAGCATTTATTGACTTATTGATACATCTTGTTCAAAATGAAATCACAAAATAAACTGAATTTAGGAGCTTTTATTACTTATTAAAGCATTAATCTTTTATAAAATTCTTAATTACAATAATATCATTTTTATATAATCTGATTATCCCAAAATTAAAAAAGCCAGTTAATGTTCTAGAATTATTATTCATAAGAACTTAAACAGCTAACTTCATTTTTTTCGGTTGATAAAAATGAGAACAATAATTTAATGAGCGAAATTGTAATCTTCTAGACTCAGAATTAAAATCATGACTTGCACCAATTTTGCCTAAAACATAAAGAAAAATGTTCTTACAATATATAGCTTAAGAAATTATTTTTAAAACCGCAACTGAAAATTAAAGAATAACATAAAAGTTAAATTATCTAAGCATACGGGAAGCTTAACTTAAGATAAGGGGGGAAATGGTTTATAGTTAAGAGTAACATTACGAGGTCTAGAAATATATGTTGTGATTTGACTTAAATCAATAAATGCAACGAAGTCCACATTAGCTTTAAACAAAAACAATATAACAGTAATTAATCGAACATAAACGCAACGATTATCCAACAACAGTTCCCAATCTGCAGGAGGGCACAGGGAAACAACTGTAAATCTATTTTTAGATAAGATAATCTTGCAATGTTTATTATAATAATCACTTCGTGGAAAAATGCACTAACAAACGATCGTGTAGAAAGAAGGTTTTTTATCATTAAAGGAACTTAACTACAGTGTTAAAGAGTGATTAATATACATTTTAATAGAATACAATAATTATAAACATATATCGATAAAATTCACATACCTGGGCGCCATTTGCAACCATCTTGTCTAATTTCTTGCCGATTTTAAATACATCTTCTTCACATCCCATTTTCCACCCTTTTCTTTTTAAATTTTTCAAAATACAAGATTGGTTTTTAATATTAAATACAAAGGATGTTGATTAAATACACAAATTCAAGAAGCAAATTTACAGAAGTTTCTAATGAACAACGATATCAAATTTTCCATAAGCAAAACATAGAATAACCGCTATGTTTACTACAGACAGCGCCATCTGGAAGAGTTCGTAATGTTGCACTTTCTCCTCTTTTTCACCTTGTATTTCGCATTCAGTTTACTCAGTTGGCGATTAATAGTGGTTGATTGTATCAATGAAAACAATTTTTTCTCTCAAACACTACTTTTCGTACTCATAATTGCGAAATCCTCTATGCAAAATCGCAATAGTAGATAAAACAGAACAGCATTTCGGAGAAGTAAATGTGGGGAGTAGAAGGAGAGGTGGAAGAGGAAAAAGTATTATTATTCCAAAACTAATTATGCGTTTTCCTTAAGAATTAGGAGGCTACTAAGGTTGGAAATTAGGCTCGGTCCTATTTAGTTTAATGCATAATGCCTTGAAGATTATGTGTTAAGCAATTTTTCGCTACACCCCTCTCCCAATTCTGCAAAAATAATTAAAAAATAAAAAAGAAGAAATTTTTATTGGTTACTTCTGAGATATTTCTCACGTTTGATTATTTTTTTAAAAATGCTTCTTTTAAATGTTAAGATTTATAAAAAAAAATAAACTGCATACATAGCGTATATGTTTCAGATCTTCGCAATAAATGGAAAATTTTAGAACTTAAGATATATAATCTGTGAAAATAGCACTTTACTGATTTTGTAATTTTATCACAATTTTCTTTTTCTCTTTTAAAACAATTAAGTGTTAAGGTATTTTAATGTTCAGTGCAACTAACAAAAAAATTCAACTGCATTTTCCTAAGAAACAAAAAATTACGATTAAAAAAAATTTATTTGCAATTTTTTTCTACTAAATTTTTTTTTAACTTACTGGACTGGAATTGGAAGAACATATTTTTAATATTTTTTCATTATGACTCACTGCCTGATTAGTTTTTGATAATTTGTGGTAAAAGGGCCTCGGGTTTATCAGCCCCAGGTCCATCATCCAATCTTGTTTTTCCTATTTTGCATATTTTTTATATTCACTTTCTGCAATAATTTTGAATTTTTCTTATTCAATTTGTTTTATTTATCGAAAATTTGTTTAATTTTTTCTTTTTTTGAAAACTATTACTTTTTAAAGCAAACTATTTAAATGTTACGATGATTATGAGTATGATAATGAATTTATATTTCATTTTTCAAATTGAAACAGCTTTTTTTCCTGAATCATATTTTTCTCAACATTTTTCTTCTTCTTTTGTATAAAGAAACGAAAAAACTATAGTATATAAGAGTGAATAATTATTAAAATTCGCATGAATAAAAAATGAAAATGTGATAACTAAGGGTATGTTGATTTCGCGAAGCAGAAATAATATATGAATAAGCAATTTAATTCTGTTATTTTGAAAATTAAGTAAATTGTTTTTCTAATTTGTTTCCAATTTAAAAATGGAATAATCAAGATTTAAGAAGATATAATAATTTTAAAAAAAACCATTTTGTGTTAATTTAGTTGGGGAAGAACACTGAAAAAATATTTCTTTAATATATATCAATATTTAACAACTAAAAATAATTTTTTAGATTACTTTTAAATAGAATTTTGAAGAAAATGAAATATGCAGCTGAAGATTTATTTCATAACATTCAGTAAGCGAGAAAAATAATTTCGAGCTTATTTTTTCCTTGAATTTATTTCTTTGAATTAAATTCTAATAGAATTTTTAGAATTTATTATTAGAATTTTTTTAAAATTTTTTTTATTTTTTTTTTGTATTAGAATTCATTTCTATCATAGCCAGTAAGGGAGATAAAAAATTCTAATACGTTTCCCTCCCCCCCCCCCCCCNCCTTCGTTTTAGTTTTATTTTCCAACTTCAAATTTTAAGAAATGAATCATGTATTGCTATTGTTGTCTCAATTCCTGCAAAAAAATTTGCATATTTACCCAAAGTACAAATTAGACTGAGAAAAAAAAATGACTAAGTCAAAATAGGATGATCAGATGGCTCATTCGCTCGGTGGTTTTAAAAATGGTGGTTATTTCGAAGAAAAAAATTTATAACTTCTAATGCGATGAAATTTTTATAATTAGTCATTGATGAAAGAGTGTAAGGTAAATATTCCGGATTCCGAAAATGCTTTTATTCAAATAAAAAATTCATTATTACTTATAAAAAAAAGAAAAAATTGTGACTTTTATCTTTTTGTACGGTAACACAAAATTGGTCTTTTTCATACTTTTTTTTTTATCTGCTCAGTTTATTTAATGTTATGACTGGCGTCTTAATCATAAAGGAGCGTATTATTTTATTTTCTAACCTGTGTTGAACTGTTGAACAGCTAACCAATTTTTGAGTTTACAGCTATAGAAGTTCTACTCCATAGCCTCGTAATTTTGAACCCGACTCAGAAGACAAGAGAGCTCCTGAATCAAGTTTTGGGATTTAAAAAAAAAAAAAAACATTGTGGGGGGCTTTATATGATGGAAGTTACGCGCACTTGCGTTACAGGGCAATGCAAAACCCTTTCCAGGTTCGCCCGGTGACAAAGGGATTCTAACTCGTGATCTATCTACCACTGAGGATATTTACTACGCACTGGAGCTGCATAATGAGCTATTGGCGAAGGTCTGACAAGCATTAATGAGGATGATCTGAAGATACGCAATCACAATTTTAATCGTCAGCAGAGGGTTACGGCTTCTCCACTTTGGTAACTTGACGGACGGCATGCTTGCCAATTCCAACTCTTTACGGTCGCACAGTTTTAAGGAGAACTGATACCGAGCACCCTCGGTTCCTTCGTTGGGTGATTAAATTGGTCGCTATCTACTGTCAGCGATGCATGACTTCGGTGATTTGCTGCCAACCTTGCCTTACGATCTGCATCATAGTTGGTTTCAGTTAATGTTCGCTGCTGGGCCAAATCGGCCCGAAGGGATCTCATGATGTTAATGATTTACCGCAATCAAGCTCCTTTTGCCTGTGCTTTATAATCTCTGAGGGGCTGTAAGAAATCTATTATGAAAATCTTATGTATTGTTGCAGCTGTAATCGACTCCAAATTCACTCATAAAATATTTTTTACCGATAAAAGAGTATATTTGCTACCGATTAAAACTGCACCAATTACAATGATGCAGTAGTGCGTATTACCAATATTAAGCATCATTGTTGTCAAAGATAGTGTGGTGACTTTTTACGGTCCCCCATTATAAATATGTTTGTGTACCAAAAATAAAAATGACTGCCTTGTATAACTTTTTTTCTAATGATTGGATCTTCACGTTCTAGGACTCCATCAAAATGCGTGACGTCAAATATGCTAAATCGTTAAATCAGACTATATTTTAGGTTACAAAATTCGACACAAAAACGTACTTTCTCTGAATAAACATATCGTGAGAATTTTTTAAGCGAAATTAACAATTTTTGCAAACAGTTATACAATTTGTTTATCCAAAGATAATTCTTTGCAAAAAATAAATTTTAGCAATTATTTGTGCTTGTTAATATTTTATTAAATATTCGTCGACAAAATTTTGAATTGTTAGGTACACATTTTTTTACAAAATTTTAAAGTACGCAGTTTTACCTGCAAAACTATAAAATTTATGCGAAATCGGTTGAATAGATCATGAGAAATAGCATTTCAAATAACTGGCATTTTTAAAATTCAATTTCTCAGGAGCTCTCCGACTGATTTTGCTCAAATTTTATAATTTTCTATGCAAAATTATCCTCCTTAAAATGATGCATAAAATTGTATACCTTGCAATTCAAAATTTCTTCAATTATTATTAAATAAAATAACAAAAAATAAAAAAAATATTTATTAAACTTTATTTTTGCATGGAATTATCTTTGGATAAACGAATTTTATAATTGAGTGCAAAAATTTTTCAATTCGCTAAAATTTTCAAGGTAGAACGAAATACGCAAAAATTAAAATTAACATTAAAGGGAAGAAACCTTGGAGCTCTCTCTTGATCAAACAATGGGGACGATATTTCCCAGATTGTGGCTACCCCCTATATTTTGGGGATAAGAAATCCGAATCCATCGAGAAAAAAAAGATGAGTTATTCAGAAAAAGCACGTTTTTGTGTCTGATTTCGTAACTTCAAATATCGTCTGCGATTATTAATTAGCATATTTGATTTGATGCCACTTAAGCCTTTTTTTTCCATAACCGTTGTTGAACATCAGACCCAATTTTTGGGTTTACGACTACTAATGTTCTACTAGGTAGCCTTGTAATTTTGATCCCAATACAGAAGACAAGGGAACTCATGGATTAAGTGTTGGGAGAAATTTGTCTTCGTGGAGGACTTTTTGATGGAACAAATTCGCATTTGCGTTACATAGAGAGGAAGACCACGAGAACCTCCCATGGTTACCCTGACGGCAAGGGGACTCTAACCCATGATCCGTCTACCATTGAGGATATTCCCGTCAGTACTTTGGTCGGCGCAAGCCGGATGCGGAATTCGTAATGACCAGCGATCGCCGGAATCGAACCCCGGTTCGCCTCATTGGAAGGCGAACGCTCCATCTCCTGAGAAATCGCGGCTCTCACTTAAGCCTTTAAGATTAAGTCCTAGAACGTGACAATCTGATCATTAGATCAAAAGTTATTCAGGGTGGTTCATTTTTTGTTCGTTTTTGTTTTTAGAGTAATGTACATTTTCTCCATTTATTTTGATTTTTAGTTCACAACTTATTTATTTATTTCAATTCGAGCTTATTACCAAAGTTAATTTAGTATCATTGACGACAGTAATAGTTTGCCGATTTTTTAAGATCCTTTAAATGAATTAGTAACATTTGTCCATTAATATTTAGTACATAGCTTATTATTTTACATCAATTAGTAACAATTACGAAATTTATCATTGGCTTCAACAATAACATTGATGTTTTTTTTTAATGTTTATCCTCAACGATTTAGTAACTTTTCTCCATTAATTTTGATTTTTAGTACATAGATTATTATTTTAATTCAATTAGTAATTAACCAAAACTAATTATTATTAGAATCAACAATAATATTGATGGTTTTTAGGCTTATCCTCAACGAATTAGTTTCATTTCTGCAT